CCCACAACACACACACACACACACGCACACAACACAGACTCATTTTCCCGTTTGTGACTGCTGTTGGCAAATGCAAGTCGGCGATTGGCGGAGGGCGAGCCAGATACGGGTCCAAACAACATATGTTCTAGCTCCAGTCCCGCAACCCACTCGATAACCACAACGCCTGGGTCAGGTAAGGCCCCCTTGGGAGTGTTCCAGAGTGCATATAGTGATGGCTTTCATCATCGCCCCGAACCCCTCCCTCGCTCCTTGAGACGTGTCTTTGACCGTAACAATATTTCCTTCCACTGTGCTGTGCTGCCACTCTATTGTGGTTGTGCGTATCGTTCAGGTACCAACTCGAGAAGGTTGCCGAAGAAGAGCGCGTCTACATGGTAAGTGTGAATGTGTGTGTGTGTGTGTGTGTGTGCACTGCGTACTGAACACCCATCAACTGCGACTACCCCACCAACTTGCTCCGCTGCATCAGGACTTGCCGAGCTTCATGCAAGCATGGGTGATGCACCACACGTTCTGGCACAACCTGCGTGTGCCCATGTTTGTGTATCGCTACGAGGTATGGAAGCACTTGTGTGCGTGGAGTACCGTGGACATGCTCGTGCAACAGTGCAACGGCAAACGTCAATGCAATGCTCTCCGATAGAGGGAGAGCCCGTTGGGACACACACACACACACACACACGCACACACACACACACACACACACACACTGCTTCGTGCCATTCACGCACTGCGTCACACCTTCACGCGTTTGTGGTGTGTGCTGTCACATCACGTCACTGCATCTGTGTCAGGATCTTCTTGCCAATCCCATTGTGATTTTGCGAACCGTTCTCAAGTCGTCCGGCCTGTGGGACTATTACAGGCTGTCTGGTGCGTCAGGTTTGCATACCTACCTGTGTGTGTGTGTGTGTGTGTGTGTGTGTGTGTGTGTGTGTGTGTGTGTGTGTGTGTGTGTGTGTGTGCCTGTCTGTTTGTGTCAGACGTCGACGGGTGGTGTCATTGCTTGTTGGGCTGGTTTGTTTGTGCTGCTTCCTTGCAGCCAGGCAGCCTGCTGCATAATTTCTCGAACCCGCTCATGTCACCTCACGTCATCTCCACCATGTAGACGTGGAGCTGGCGCGTGTGGCGAATTTGCCGCGTCTTCAAACCTTCAAAAGCAAACGTTTTGGTGCATCCACAAAGCAAAAGGTCTGCCCAGCCTGTCTCCATAGGTTTCGAAGCCTACGAGGCTGGATTGAAACAGGGGTTTCGACATGCTTTGCTTGAGTGATTATGATAGTGAGGAGCGATGATGTGATGCAAGACATCACTTGCGTCGCCGACCTCTGTTTTCTTAGTGCACCCCCGCCCTTCTCCTTGTGTTCACTTCACTCTCGCTTGCTCGTGTTCCGACAATATCGTTTGATTTGGACCAGGATGACGTGGCGCACGCGTATCACAAGTACGACGCGAAAGACATTGAGTGGATCCTCGACAACTACCGCTCCATCCTCGATCTGTGCGTGCAAGCAAAGCCGATGGTTCAACGCGATCACACGACACGAGTATTCTAGAGTATGGGTCGTGTTAAGGGAGGGAAATGGAGGCGGGTGTGAGAGGAGGGAACAGAGCATCGGTGGATGGTTCCCGTGTTCTGAGACCGGCTATGTGCGCATTATGTCTTTCATGTTACATTTCGTTACTCACGCAACGTGGTGACACCCTACCCATCTCCTGCCATTGTGACGCTCTTGGTTGCTTGCACCACCACCACCACCAACAACAACAACAACAACAACAACAACAACAACAACAACAACAACAACAACAACAACAACAACAACAACAACAACAACAACAACAACAACAACAACAACAACAACAACGTGGTGTCCTCAGGTTTGGGTACACGGGCATGTACGAGGTGTGGCTTCAAGCCGCGCGCGGAGAGCTCACGGACGACGATGAGATATCGGTGATGGTGCAGCGTGCCATGCTCAAGACGGCTCGGACATCCAACTGGGGTGACGTGTACACGTTCGACGACGCCTACTTTGGCTTGTAGCGATGCACCGCACAGCCAGGTACATGGGGGAGAGGAGATAGAGGAAGAGTGTGTGCATGTGTGTGTGTGTGTGCGTGTGTGCGTGTGTGCGTGTGTGTGTGTGTGTGTGTGTGTGCTTGTCTCTCTCTGTCTCTGTGTCTGTCTCTATCTCCCCCCCCCCCTATCTCTGTGCTCTGTGGTCAACGTGTTCATCGCGCCTGCAATCCGTCTTATGACTCAGCCCCCCCCCCCTCCAAACCTCACCACCCAATCGCTCGCTCACGCCTCGCTTGGCAGGCATGTATGGTATTGTGGCAAGCAAGCGTTCAATTATACTGACATAAGTAGGGAACAAAGAGGGAAAGCGAGAGAACAACGAGAACAGTGTGAACGAATCAATCATGCAAACAAACGAAAAAGTATCAACCGCGCACGCGCGGCCGCCCAACGCGTATGTACACACACACCGCGAGCGCGCAAACAATAAAGAAGAAAGCATTAACGCAGGCAGCATAACAAAACGTGCGAAGAACATCATGAAATCGAACAGCGCATGCTTGGTGATGATGATGATGATGATGATGATGATGATGATGATGATGATGATGATGATGATGATGATGATGATGATGATGTTGTTGTTGTTGTTGCTGCTGCTGTTGTTGGTTGGTTGGTTGGTTGGTTGGTTGGTGGTGATGCATGCTTAAGTGACACCACATTGCATCGTCACATCGTCACATCGTCACGTCACATCACGCGACGAGGTCGAGCGTTGCCCAGAGTGGGATATGGTCCGACACGACCCTCTCGCTTGGATATGGACCTTCAGGGAACGATTCAGGGTCGCACGCGTCGCGAACCACCCACTCGTCGGAGAGGAAGATGTAATCCAGCGTGTCCTGGAACTCGTGCGTCCAGTTGGTGAACTCGGGCTCCCTACCGTGGTGCTCCCTGCAGCGCATAGCATGTGTTTTGTGTGTGTGTGTGTGTGTGTGTGTGTGTGTGTGTTTTGTTTTGTGTGTGTGTGTGTGTGTGTGTGTGTGTGTGTGTGTGTGTGTGTGTGTGTGTGTGTGTGTGTGTGTGTGTGTGTGTGTGCAGTCAGCCGGGCAGCCAGCCATGGGAAACTGAATCATTCATTCACACAAAGCCACAACACTAGCTCAAGGCACACAACGAACAGCAGCTGACCTGAGGGCGCTGCGAAGGGCCTTTGGCACTTCGTTGAATGTGGCGGCCGGTGTTGCCAGCGCACCCTTCACTTCGGGATGAATGAAGCCTGCAGTTGTCAAGACGACACAACAACACGTCGCGAGCATGAGAGACACGACGGAGTGTTGAGACGGGTGCAAACGTGTTCCAGGAAGGAAGAAATAAATCAACAGGCGCGTGCACCCTGACTTACAAACATCGTTGTTTGCACCGCCATACACACACAGACACAGACACGCACACAGACACAGACACAACACAGACACACACACACAACGCATACACAGACACACGCAACACACTGACCGTTGACGATCATGTCGTAGCAAGGGTCCTTGGGCTTGATGTTGAAGTCGCCGGCAACGATGTATGGCAGGGAGTTGGCTGTGTTGTGCGCCCACTTGACCAGCATGCTGCAGTGCATCGCCATCACATGCGGCTCCCGGAACTTGCACGGCATGTGATACGTCGTCACAGCAAAGTCTTGCCCTGAAGGCGCGCCCGGGCGTGTTGGGTTGTGTAGATGTGCGAGTGTGTGTATGCGTGATTGGCACAAGCGTCGTGGACATTGCTGTTGGTGGTGGAGGCTGACACACAGACACACAGACACAGAAATACACGCACAGACACAGAAATACACGCACAGGTAGACACACGTACACACACACACACACACACCTTTGCCGGATGACCTGGTGAGATGCACTTGCAGGGCAACGTTCCAGCAGCGCTTGGCGGTGATGGTTGAGTCCCGCAACTTGCTGATACTCCTCACACCGATGCAGTCGGGGATCAGGTCGCCGATGCGCTGGGAGCGGGCCGATTTCAGTGAGTAAACGGCGCGTGGGCCGATTTCAGTGAGTAAACGGCGCGTGGGAAGGCGATGGCAACGCCGAGCAGCGGCGAGTACGTTACGGGGACAAACGTGTACCCTTCCTGAAAGTGTGTGTGTGTGTATGGTATGCCATCATCCACGTGTGCATGTGTTTGTCGTCGGGTGGTGTGAGGTGGGATCGACAAGTGTTCTCCAACACGACGGTGCGACACGGCTGGGTACAAACGCTACCCACACATCAGCTAGTCGAAACAGACGCACATTGATCAAGCAATGCATACCTTCTCGAAGAGGAGGACAAACTTGCCGAACCAAGAATGGTCCACTTCCTGCATCACATGTGCGTGTGTGAGCGAGTGAGTGAGTGAGTGAGTGCGTAGTATTGTGAGAGAGAGAGGTTGAGCGAGTCCTCAAGTCCGGGCTATTCCAAACGTTGAACAAAGCAGCATTCAAGCAGGAGAGGGCGCGCACCTGCAGGCAGATGATGGAGTCAGACTCCATCAGATCCAACAGCTCCGCCACCAGCATCTAGCAAGCGCCACGCACAGCGCACATGCATATTGGATGTCCATTTGAGACATGGCACGGGAGGGATGCAGAGGTGGTTGCATGTCGTTCTGTGGTGCGTTCGCTAACATGGCAATGAGAAAGCAGGTAGAGCAGCAGACACACACAAACAGAAGGAGGATGCAACCACCCACCTTCCACCGGACATCTGGGTCGAGGAGATCTTCGGTCAAGTAGGGGAAGTAGTCCTTCTGGGTGAGCGGCGGACTGAGCACGTTGAAGGTCACCACTTGCATGGCTCGTGTATGTGTGTGCTGTGTGAAGGTGGTTGAATCAACATCCACGGGGCGCTTGCTTGTCGGTGGTGTTGTTTGTGTTTCGGTGTGTCGTCAGAAGTGTGTCACACAGCCAAACACAACT